GGTCGCTTGTTAACAATAAAACTGTGTTCTGTGCGAGAACATAATGTATTAGCTAGCCTAAGTACTGTGCTAGCTTTTGAGTCTTGTCAAGCTAAATTATGAATTAGTACCTAAATATAGCTAAAACTGTGACGATTCTTTCTTCTCATAGAATTTGAATCCAGAAAGTATTGAACGAGACATTAAGGGTTTAAATAATAAGGATTTGTAAAGAGAAGTTCAGCCAAGTAATTACAGAGTACATTGCTGTATTCAATTTGTTCAAAACGATTCCCTTTCTGAAATACTTGTTAAATTAACATTGGAGTTAAAACTTTGCAGATATTAATTACTTAAATATACAATTCTACTTATTTTTGTCGGCCATTTTTGGATGATGTTAGACTTTAATATGATATAATAAAGTTAGGGTTTGATTCGTCCGGGTTAAGTATTGAATGCTTGTATAGATTTTCAAAAATTTTCATTTGAGTTGTCAAGTGGTTGCAATTGTAAATAGTTTCGGAGTCGATTCCTGAACCGGGTATTCCTGAGTGTCTTTTCTGTTTTTCGATTTGATAAAAAACACAGTCTAGATTTTATAAAATTATGTTTGATAGAAGGTACCAATGTGAAAAGCCCCTATTTTATATGGGACTTATAAAGTCATAATGTAACTGCCTACCGCATTAGGAATTAAAAGGCGTGATGTTAGTTAGCTTAGTAACTGTACATAATTTTGTCTCTCAAAGTCACTTCTTATGGTTACAAAAAGACAATTAGAAATGAAATTAAAATAGAATTTTTAACGCCATTAAATAAGTTAACGTGTCTAGGTTCGTTATCAAGAAACTAATTTTAAAATTGGTAACCGTTGACCTGAACGCTGCCATCTTAGGTTTTATAGAACTTTGTAATAGGGATGATGACAGGGTATGGAAATTAAAAATGTAAGTCCATCAGTTAGGTAATGAAAAAATATTAGACACGTATTTTTTTATTTTTTTTTGTATAATAAAATAATACTTAGATCTAACGAATCAAAGTTTAGTAGTGGGGGCTAAAACGTCATTTCTACGTATAAAATGTACATAAAAGTGACGTCACGCGACATTTCAAATCAATATATCTTCGAAACTATTCGTTTCCGTAAAAAAATTAAAAATACGTGTCTAATGTTTTTAAATAATAATCTACTAGATGGACATTAAAATAAAAATTAGTCATCTACCCTAGAACCCAACGGGTAACCGGGGCTCCGGCTCGACGTGCAGGAGAAGGAACGGGGTGGTTTTTAGTCAGTAAGAGCCTGACACTCCCTCCCGCCTCACCCGGGCGGGGGCAGCCATTCGACGATTTTCCCCCCTTAAAAAAACCCTATTATAATGTATGAAAGTTTTATACCAAATTCGTTGACAGGCTGCAGTCTCCTACTAGATTGTAATACAGTTTTTCATGGAGGAGAGCCAGCCAGTAATGAGCTGGCTAGACTGGAGTGATACCACGGCGTCACAGAAAATTAGCGTGAAATAAGGCTTGCGTTTTGTTTTATTGTGTAAGTGAGGTACCGGAGGAGTAATACCTACTGCTCTGGTGTTGCAGGTCTCTATGGGCAGCGCGGACTGCTTACCATCAGGTGATCTGTCTAGGTTTTTGCCCACCTATCTATGAAAAAACTGTTATGGTTTTGACTGAAAGATTGTATTAAATTTGTCGTACTCAAGGTTTTTTTCTTTTTCTTTCTCCTTGACTATATTATGTTGGTGTTACATTGTTTTCACATAATTGAACCAACGAAACAACGAAGCCAAGAATATTGTTTTGTGAATCTGATTGAAAAAAAGTAACCTATGGAGTTTCTTGCTCGCAAATAAGTAGGTTCACTAGAGGACTGACCGACAGACTGACATTTATTTTAAATATTACAATATTTTGTTTTGATGTTCAAAAGTGCCTTCCTAAAATAACCTTCCTTTGGTCTAATTGTAATAAATCATTTTGACTTTGACTTTGCACTATAGATGCACCGTCATAAGTCTTTCACTCAAATGTTCAAGTGAAACAAGTAAATTTATTTCTACAAATAGGCTACAAGGCAGCACTTTTACACGTCAATTTTATCAAGCGAACGATGAGGTCGACATTTCCTAACTGACTACTCTGAGAAGATATGCCGAAACAAACTCAGAGGCCCGTCTCTTTTAAAGTCCAGAAAAATATGTATAAAAGATTATGTGTGAGAACGTGCAAGTTCATTCTACAATGGTCTTTTGAGGAAAGAACCACAACAGTTTGAGCTGAACCGTTCTGACGGCAGTAAGCATTGGTCGCTTTACAATCACCTCAATTATCTTTCGTTATTCTTCGTCAAATTGTTGTTCCGTTGGGTGCAATGTGCATGTAAAATGAATTATGTGTTTGTAAACACACTATCGACAAAAAAACGAACCTAGTGTGGAACCGCGTTTAAATAATAAAAGTACTCTACTGTATCTATTATTATATTCGTAAAACAATTAAAAATGAAGCGTTAAACCCATTAAAAGTGGAGCAGAGAAATGTTGATGGTAAATAACATTATTTACACAGGGTGTTTGTCCTTGCTCACTCCGGGTAAAGTTATACAGCGGGTTTTAATTCTGAAAGTCAAAGTTATGAAGTATTGTTATTATGTTCACAGTTTTCAGGGGGCACTGTTTTATATATCATTTTTATCTGGACATTAATAAGTAGCTGCCTAGCCGATCTAGTCGTTGCAAATCGTGGGGTTTTAGTTTCGATCTTGGGTCAAGCAAAGTGTATATTATTGTGGTTTTGTAGTAGATCCTTTGTAATTAGCCGCTGTAGTTATAGGAACATGTCTATATGTGTGATATAATATACATAGTTTAGTTAATCAGTGCTCCTCTGCCTACCTTATTTGGGATCTAAAAATGTGATGTTATGTTATTATTGAGTGTTCAGTATTCCTATTCAGGTATAAAAATAAACCTAAATAACTCATAGACCTTTCCAAGCTCTTCGCTTGTGCTTCAAAAAGCCATAACCACCGCAGATGCATCCCAGCAGGGCTGATGCCGATATGGATCCGCAGAGAACTTAACGTGTTACCAGGACTCCGGCTCAAAGTGCAGAAGTAGGAACGGGGTGGTTTTTAGTCAGTAAGAGTCTAAGACTCCCGCTCGCCTCACCCAAAGTGGGAGAAGGCACAGAAGACATTGGTTTGGCCCCTCAAAAAATAGACACATTTTCAAGTCCAATCAGTGAGACTAAGAGTTTTCCGATTACACTATCAGGTCCAACAGGATTAGATATATCTAGGACCCATTTAAATCTCCTTGTGGAAACACTTGACAAGTCAATGTCGCCAGTTGTCCTTCAAACAGGTTGGTTATAAAGTGCAGGACATTGAGTGGTGTAGGTAATTTACTGGCCCAGCAAGGTGAAGGTCGCCTCTGTGATATATGTGATCTGCGGCCGCCGACTTATTGGTTCCTGGTATTTTATTAGATACTAACTTTCCATTTTCTAGAAGGTTCCATTTCCGATCTTGAAGGCTTGGATACTATGATATTACGATTTAAAGTCAAAGTCAAAGTTTCAAAGTCAAAGTCTACAAGTTTCATTCCACCGGGATCCATGTGCCGTAATTTAAAATAACTCAACTCACTCAATAAGCTTCCAGTTCACGTCATATTCTTTTTGTTCCAACAAACCAAAATATGTACACAAGTGAGCGTCATTGTAAACAAATGCTATATACTGTTTATAATTTTACTAGCTGCTGCAGGCGGTTTCGCTTTCATGGGGTAAAAGTGGCCTATTCTAGACCATAATCTACTCCTGTTCCTAAATTCATCTTGATCTCTTCAGCCATTTCAACGTGATGGAGTCACAAACGAACGTACAAACTTTCGCATTACAATATGACTGCACGGTTGCCGCGGTAGTTGGGCAACTGGCTGCCGCGCTAAGTGTCGCGGTTTCGATTCCCGCACGTAACGTCTGGGTGTCATGTGTATGTGAACTTGTATGTTTGTAAACGCACCCATGACACAGGAGAATATCCTATTGTGGTGCAACTTTTTAATAAAATAAAGTATTATTAGGATCGTACAACCATTTTTGAACAAACCACAATAAAAAACATTCATTTAATAAATGACCAAAAACTCCCAGTAATTACTATCGATCTATCTTCTCTAGAGAACTTAGAATGAGGATAAAGAAAACTATTTTTGAAACACACAAACTTGGCAGAAGCCGCAGTGCTGCGTCACATCCGGTTCCACCGGAAGAACCGGCTTCGCTTCCGGTGTGAGCATATTTTTTTATCCGTAGAAACTTGCTTCAGGATATTTGCAAAGTGCAGCCAGCTAATGCGTTTTTTACTTGACTTTTAACCACTGAGCCATGCTTGTTAATTATTTAACAACTTCGTGTGTAGAGGCTAGCTCTTAAGTGCGGTTTTGTTAATGGAGTAGAAAATAAGAGTATATTAGGATCGTCTGAAAGGCTAATTTAGTACCTTTTTGGTTGTTAAATACATAAAGAAATATTTTACAAGTGTAGTGATTCATGTTCAAGCATAAGGGTGGAGGCCCCATCTGTAATTACCAATTTGACATTATCATTTAAATCTGAGTACTTTTTTCTTTTTGCTCTTTTTTATGTATTGGATATGGGTAGGCGTTTGGCTACTATCTCACCTGCTGGTAAGCGATGAAGCACCCTACGATGGAGCACGTCTGCCCATAAGCAACCTACTCAATCGGGTATAGAAGACCCAGGTTATACCAGTCAGGAAACACAGATTTGGGTGAAGAATTTTAATTCTGCCTAATTAAAACAAACACATTTAAGAAAAGCAATACAAATAATTTGCAGTTTCTATTTAATTAAAATAAATAAAACACCAAACCACATGTTTAAGCAACATATATAATTCTTAACACAAATATATAGTACAAAATACAACACCAAACATATAAATTGTACGTCTATTTGCGAGAGCTCAACTTTCAGTGGTTGACGTACCGCCTTGCGAGTAGCGCTCTACTGCGGGGTACTATGCACTCCGTTATAGTATGAACCCTGTCACTTCTCACGTAGGCGGGGTCGCAGGACAGTTCTCTGAGGGCCTGAATGGCCATGCTTGTGTCGAAGGGAAGCTCTGTACCGTCAAATATGCGGGAAAGCCAGCGAGCTTCTACACAGCTGGAAATAAGCAAAAATATTTTTAGAGGTATGTATTTCTTGGTTTTATTCTACCAATAGTGATGGAGGTAGTTGTGGAAAAAAATGATTATACCATTGTATGGTCATTATGATTAAGAGTGTATAACAAATGTCAGATCGATGTGTCGTCGCTTAAATAATAATGGTCAAACGTCAGTCCCAACCAATAAAAAAAAGGTTTTCTCAGTATATTTACATGAATAACTCATGATTTTTTGTTAATTTAGTATGTCTCACGATAGTTATTATAAAAATTTAAAAAAATGTTGTTAGTAACCTTGCGTTACGCAATGGAAGTAACAACACCAACGCAAGCGCCAATGCGCGCTGCGCTGCACATGAGGAAGAGCCCCTCTGTGGCTCGAAACTGGTAGAGCTATTCTGAGTATATGGTTATTATGTGTAACCTGCGATTTTTTGTTAAAAATCCTGTTTATTGTGCTATGATATATGTAGGTATATGTAGTTTAACTCACGATGGGCACGGATCAGCCGGCACCAGTGTACTGATGGGAACCGGTTTGAACGTCACAGGAGGTTCCTCCCTCAACGTATACTTCCTTAGGCGGGAGGTACCTGACTTCTCACTCTTCTTTAAGCAGTGCTCCTGGAAAGAGTATTATTTAAGCACAGATGTATGTATATTTTCAGAAAATTGAAATAATTAATTATTTATTGTGGTGCAGTAGCAAATTATAACTAAATTGACAGATTAAATGGGTTGATGACATGATACGTGCCTTTTCACACGTTCCGGTTTGCCGGGTAGCCGGTGCCCAGGTACAATTACTACGCGACGTATTTACGAGGCGCTACCGGACATAATATCAGCTCCGATGAAAGCTAAATGTGATACCGGACAGTCGGTGCAGGCTACCCGGACACCGATACGTGTGGAAAGGCACTTAAGGTTCGAGTTGCTTTGAACCGACCGACTTGAGAGGTTTTGGGTTTGGATGAGTCTTCTGTAGAGCAGTAGTGTTTTTAAATAATTATAATATTAATGTAAAATAACGAGACATAATAGAAAACACATTGTTTCTCACGTAGATTTGCGTTCGGCATATCACTGGTGAAATGATTCACCGCATACGCGCATACGTGGCAAAGTAATATTTTACCCATTAACTTTATAATTTAACAAAGTATGTGTTTTGTAATTAACTCGTCGAGTACCGGTTTTATAGACACAATTAAAGAACAATAGGTCGCGGTCACCGGTGACCGCTTGGTGTTTGACAGTTTAAAAGAGATCTTACATAATAATAGATATATTCTTTGTACGTCTTAATCTTTTCAGTGATGAGCTGCAGCGACAGCTGGAGCTGGTGGACGGACGGGTGCTTGTCTCCGAGCAGGTTATGGAACGGCTCTAAGTTGCAGTCTAACATGCTGGAAACATAATTATTTATTAAATTAAGTAAAAATGCGGGTTACTCACGTGAACACACTGAGAAAAGCTCTACTAGTTTAGAACCACAGAGGGGTTCTTCCTCATGAGCAGCGTGCGCGGTCGCGGCGACGTCGCCAGTGAGCTGCGGGAAGAACCCCTCTGTGGTTCGAAACTAGTAGAGCTTTTGTCAGTATACTCATATGAGTAACCCGCGTTTTTACTTAATTTAGTATGTCTCACGATAGTTATTATAAAAACATAATTATTTATTTTTAGCCATGATCGTCCCACTGCAGGGCAAAGGCCTCCCTATATTTCCAAAAGGAGATGGCGGGATGAATTAGACATGTATGACAAGGATTGGCCGCAAAAAGCTTTACATAGAGAGGAGTGGAAACATAATTATCAAGATTAAAAGGTTTCTTTCTTAGGGCCGACTTTTTCAACGCCGGATAAATTTTATTGGAGCATTGTAACTGGGCATCCGGTAATCTTACTCACACGACGAAACACAACGCAAGAGTTATTTCACGCGGGTTTTCTGTTCGGCTGTGGTATCACTCCGGTCGAGCCGGCCCATTCGTACCGAAGCATGGCTCTCCCATACTTAAATAAATTGTATCCATCTTTACTCTGTTAATTACCGAAGTAACGTGGCCTATTGTAGCTACTAACAGGGTTTAATTAAAACTTCGTATTAGTGCTTGAACTGCTGGTTCGTAATATATTTGTTCTGGTTGATCTCCATACATACAAAAAAAATATCTGTCTTAAGTAAGTCGTTGTAACGAAACCATAGCTTGATTTTAATCGCGGCAACGCCATCTAGTTACAAAAAGTGAACTAATTAATCAATATCAATTTTATGATTTCGTTACTTTGATTTTGTGTTGGGTTTTGGTCATTAACATACCGCCCACCAAGGACATTATTGACGGAATGTCCTTCTCAATGATATAATTTCTTAACACAAAAATAACAATTTGATCTTATATTACATAACAAACATGAATTTCATATCCTAAGTTGACATAAAGGTTCCCTTAGATAATAAATAAAATAACAAAATTTGTACAGATAATTTGCAAATTTGCAAGTACAAATTATGTATAACAAAACTTGTATAAATTGATCTAAACAGCTAAATAAAACAAAACTTAACATAATGTAAAAATAAAACAAAAAAGTTTTTAAAATGTGCAAAAAGTAAACTTAAAATTGTAACAGTACTACTAGACTAGACTAAGTTGTCATAAGTTGATCTTAATTATAGACCTCAATCGGTTACTGGTAGAATGCACAGCTTGGAAGTCGGTCGTTTGATGGTGGATAATTTTGTTTTTAAAGTAACCACTCGAGTTAAGTTATCACTTCCGGGATGCTTTTCTGTAATTCGACCTAGTAACCAACGACTTGGTGGCAAATCATCTTCCTTTATTAACACAATGTCGCCTATCTTTGGTTCTGGAATCTTGTTCGACCACTTGTACCTATGCATAAGATTACTTAAATACTCCTGGGACCAGCGTTTCCAAAATGACTGAAGCATTCTTTGAATATGCTGCCACCGAGTTAAGCTGCTAACAGTTGTACTTTCATAACTAGCATCGGGCGCATGTACTATCGGTTCACCAATTAAAAAATGCGCGGGTGTCAATGGTATTGGTGCACCAGGGTCAGTAGTATTCACAACACTTATTGGACGTGAATTCAAGCATCCTTCTATTTGGCGAGTAATGTGGCCATCTCTTCATAAGTAAGAGTGGAGTCACCAATCACTCGCTTGAGGTGGAATTTTGTGGATTTCACCCCTGCTTCCCATAAACCACCAAAGTTAGGGCTGTGAGGAGGGATGAAATGCCATTCAGTTCCACTTGACGCCATGTGATCTGCTAACATCGCTTCATTAGACGCTAGCTGTTTTAGTTCTCTGGCAGCACCTACAAATGTAGTACCATTATCACTCCATATTTTGGAGCAATGACCTCGTCTGCTGACAAACCGTCGGAATGCGGCTAAAAATGACTGAGTGCTCATGTCGCTAACCACTTCCAAATGAAGTGCGCGAGTGGACATACACACAAAAAGACAAATGTAACCTTTATAGGAATGATGTCCACGCCCTTTGGTTGTCCTAATATTAATGGGTCCCGCATAGTCCACGCCACTATGTAAAAATGGTCGTGCTGGAGAACACCTAATGCTTGGCAGAGACCCCATTAGTTGGTTTCTGGTACTGGCTTTATGTCTTACGCAGATGACACATCTACGAACATGGCCCTTTACTAGGTTCTTGACGCCTATTATCATCAGTAAGCTGATCTTAAATAATTTGTCATTAGTTGTGGACCACCGTGAAGCGTCTTTAAATGAGCGTCCGCGACTATGAGTTTAGTTAGATGAGTAGAACCAGGTAGAACTATCGGATGCTTGGTCTGTTCCTCTAATGAAGCCCTCTCAAGTCTACCCTGCACTCTAATTATGCCCTTCTCGTCTAAATAAGGGCTTAGTGATTGAAGTTTGCTAGACTTCATTTGTAAATAGCCTTTTTCTTTTAGTTGTAAATATTCCTCTGTATATACTTCCCTTTGTGTCTGTCTTATGCAACATTCTAGAGCGGATTCTATTTCAGTTTTTTGTAAATATATTTTATTACTCGAGCTACGTTTTAGAAATCGTCGACAATACGCAATTACTTTGAGTAATTTTTGTAAACAAGAATATCGCTCAAAAATAGAAACGGTTTCTGGCACTACCGATACATAGATTTTTATTGATTCTTCCAAATTATCTTGTAATCCTGTAGGTCTGTTGTAATCAATAATTTCGTTACTGAGGAATGGAGGCCCACAAAACCACATTTGATGGTTTATCAATACGCTAGGCAACAATCCCCTTGAGGCACAGTCTGCAGGGTTGTCCTTGGTTTTTACATGAAACCACTGCGATGCCTTCATGGTTGTCAGTATTTCCGAGGTGCGATTAGCCACAAATGTTTTCCACCTGCTAGGATGACTGTTTAGCCACGACAATACAACGGTGGAATCAGTCCAGGCTTTTACTCGTTCTCTAGAAATATTGAGAACATCTGCTGCCTCAATCAATAATCGTGATAACAAGACTGCTCCACACAGTTCCAGACGTGGTATACTGACCTGCTTGACAGGAGCCACTCTAGTTCGTGCTACCAGCAACGAAACGTGTACTCCATCTACGGCATTTAGTACTCGCAAGTAAACAACTGCTGAATACGCGATTTTGGAAGCGTCACTGAAACCATGAAGCTCCAACTCATCCTTAGACGTACTTCGAAGCCATCGAGGGATTCGAATCTTCGTCAGCAGTGACAACTCTTCACGGTAAGTATTCCACTCTTGTACTAGTTCCTTATTTAATGCTTCATCCCATGTAACACCTGCAAGCCATAACCTTTGGATGAACGTTTTCGCTAACACCACACTTGGTGCTAACCAGCCTAGAGGGTCAAACAATCTGGCTATGTCCGATATAACTTGTCTTTTAGTTACCGGTGCTGTCGTCAGGAGGAAGATTCACGGTGTATTGGAAGCTATCGTCGTTCCGGTTCCAGGTAAGACCTAGTATTTTTATTGTACTATCTAATTTTATTTCTAAATTCTTATTCTCTTTATTTATAGGATCTGTTTGTTCTACTTCCCCTTCCGTTTCCTTCATTTGATCTATTATTTTCATGATTTCCTGATTGTTACTATTCCATTTTTGCAGAATGAATCCTCCTTTTTTCAGTAATACATTTATCTGTTTAAATATGTCTATGCCTTCTTGTACACTGTCACTCCCGGTCATCAGATCATCCATATAAAAACTATTCAATGTTATGTCTGCCGCTAAAGGATAATTGTCTTTTTCATCATATGCGATTTGGTGAAGAGTTCTTACCGCTTGATATGGAGCCGAAGCGGTACCAAAAGTCACAGTGACCAGCTCATAATCTCTGATTGGCTTATCAGGGCTGTCCCGCCAAAGAATCCTTTGGAACATGGCGTCTTCGTCAGCAATTCTAACCTGTCGATACATCTTTATTATATCGGCCACTAAACCAATCGAGTGTGTCCTCCACCTTAAAACAGTATGTCTTAGGTCTGCTTGTAGAGTTGGTCCGACCATCAGCGTATCATTCAGGGAAATACCTTTTTTATTTTTTTCAGAGGCATTAAATACCACCCGAACCTTCGTAGTTGTCTTGTCATTCCTTACTACGGCGTGGTGTGGTAAGTATACCGCTTGATCTTTTTTATCGTCCCCTTCCTTTACAGGTCGAAGATGTCCTAATTGTAAGTATTCGTTTATTACTTCTATGTATTTGTCTTTAAGCATGTGTCTTTAATCAATCTTTTTTCTAATGACTTGAGTCTCATTTCAGCAATGTATCTTGAACCGCCAGCCTTGCAAGCAGGATCACTATCGCGAAATGGTAAGCGTACTATATATCTCCCTGTAGCATCCCTTACTGTAGTTTTGGTATACAGCTCTTCACACCTTTGCTCCTCAGGACTTAAGATTTTTTTTGAACTTGATTCTTTGCACTGCTCTTCGATCTCCCAAAATTTTCTTAGAAGATTGTCCTCGTTAAAATGTGCACAATTGACACTTATATTTTTAGGAAGATGCTGCATTTCTTATCGTTTAAACTGACTACTAACCCAGAAAGGATCCATCCTAAAGCAGTGCTCTGAGCGATGAGAGTACCAGTTGGACTTTTCACGATGCCTTCCTTAACAATGGAACCGTAGACATCCGCTCCCAATAGAATATCAATTCTGTTGGGAGTATTGAAATCCGGATCTGCTAAAGATAAGCCATGGGTATCGATCCACTCAAATGTGCTTATATCTGTGCTCCTTTCGGGTAAGTATGACGTGATCTTAGTTAATACGTATGCGTTAATTTGTAATTGGAAATTGTCATCTATTTTAGATTTAATTGTAAGAGTGACCATATACTTTGTAGTTGAACTATT